TGGTCTTAAGACCGGTCTTAAGACCAAGACCAACTTCGAGTACCACAACACTGCCTCTAATGAATACATTTATTATCCAACAATAAAGCCACTAGAAAATGGTGAGTGTTGTAGTTCAGACAGCTTTGAATAAGTCTGTGTTAACATTTAGTTATGAAATGTGTTCCATAAAGTTCCAGTCCAAAGTGACATAATGAAGTTCCCACTGAGAGGCTGCAGGTGAAACCTAAAACCTAAAGGCATTACTGGAGAACAGGAAGGACATGTAGACATGCAGCGCTGCATGTTTTACCTATCAGCCTGGAGAGCTCACAGAGGCCCCAGGGAACGTAGACGGGCAGCACGGAGCCGTGGCTCTCCTGCAGGGCCAGGTTGGACAGATGGTCTGAGAAGCGGCACAGCTGCTGGGTGACCCCTGCATTGCACAGGTTCAGCATGATGTTGAGGCCCAGCGGCTTCAGAGAGGGCAGGTGGCACTGCCAGGAGAGATCATCGAACTGGATGCTGGTCGGGTTCTGCTGGTCTTGGGACAAGCTCAGCATCTCCAGGTGGTAGTCGCACACAAAGTCCTCTGCCTCGGCTTCTGGGCAGCCCAGAGCAAAATCCTGGACGACAAAAACCAAGATACAGAAGAGAGAGATGGAATCCTCACGTATGGCTAAACCTAACATTTTTCATAACACGAGAAGATTTAGATTTTTTTCTATGCTCCTTGACCCATTGGGCTTTTGTCTCTTCCTGCACAGTTACCATTCTTCTTCTTCTAAATATCTTTGATCTGTATCTTATTTGTGCAAACTACACCAAACTAATTATGGAATATGAATGCATCAACGTTATTAACTAGATTCATTTTCTTGCATCTGCATGCACTAACTTCTTAGACGTCTTATTTTGAAATCTCCTTACATTTTGCTGTACATTAATGAATGCTGCAGTTTGTTTTTTTAATGCCAGCTGTTTCGGTCTCTCCCCGGCCTGTACCTGCTCCTCCTCGCCTCCCTCGGTGTCATGGCTGAAGCTGACGTTGGATCCAGAGTGATGTTTAGTCCGTGAATGTGTGTTGGGCTGAGCAGGCCGTCGGAGTCTGACCGTCTCAGACAGTCGAGCCGTGTCGTGCAACGTCTCACTGGGCTCGGCTGCATCCCCCAGCTGGGCGGCGGGTTCCTCCGGGGGACAGAGCAGAGTCTCTGCTTCCTGAGACTGCAGCAGAAAGAGGACATTAAGAAAGGGGGAGCTACAGTAACTCACAGTCTGTCACGCAGACGCACCTCATCCCGGTCATCTTCAGTCTCCATCCGACAGTAGGAGTTCACCGACAGGTCGTCTCGGAGGTCGTCCTGGCTGCTGTGAGGTGGTTCCACTCTCCCACTGAAGAACAGAACCGTCTCTGGACTCGGGTTTGGCCATGACAGGATGCCCTGCTTGTCCACGCAGCACAGCACCTGCATACAGAGAAAGGGTGAAACACAGGAGGAAGCAAAGGCATAAAAACATGAAACCATGGCAACAAATCTACAGCATGCTTCCTCCTTCCTGTATTCAGCAGAATTCTGACATTTGAGCTGACTTTCCTATTATGCAAGATAGGATGAATTGTTTCAGGATTACACTTCATCCATATTTAAAAGCTAAACAGTATCCCAAAGCATGACACATCCACCTCTATGCTTCATAGTTAGTATTCCTGGATTCCTGTGTTGGATTTGTCAAACATGTCCTCTGTTCCGTGTCCACATGATTACATTTAGTCTTATGACTTCAGAAGTTCTGGTCTTTGTCTGTGTTCTCTCTGGTGACTTTCAGTCTGACCTTCATGTTTGTCTCAGACAGTAAAGTTTTCCTCTTTGCACAAAACCCACGAAGGTCAAATTTGTTCAGTCTCTTCTGATTGGACAGACATGGACCTTCACCAGATGCTGTCTGCAGATGTAGGCAGTAACGTTTAATCCTCATCTCATATCCATCAGTATGAATTTGGCATTTACTGCAACAGTCAATAATTACATCATGAAGAGGAAACAAAACATATATGTAAATCATACCTAACTATAAGTCAAAGGATCAGTAAAATTATGAAAAAACGTGCAAAAAAGTGCAACTTACAGGTAATAAGTGGTAATCATCACTTATAAATAAGCAGAGCTTTCTAAAATCACTGAATGTTCAAATTTCATTGAAATTTATTTTGATTTTTTTTCTTAATCTGGTGTAATTTTTTGTACAAATGTTAAAGTGATTACATCATAAAGCATATGGGATATCTAGAAGTGAAGAAAGAAATCAGAACTTGGCCATAAAAACAAGAGAAGGCCTTCAAACAGTCGTACTCACAGTGACAGAGCCCAGAGTGTGCAGCAGGCTGGAAGTGTAGCACAGAGTCTCAGATTCTCCCTTCAAAACGCCAACCATGTGTCTCCAGACACAGCGCAGCAAATCCTGCATCCATGACATATACGAGCAGGTTAGAATGAGAGACCACCGAAACCAAGAACCTCCTAATAAAAGAGCAGATTTGTTACTGAGGAGAATACGTCCCAGTTCTAAATCACAGAGAATTCCTTCATCAGTTCTGAGATGAGAGTAAAGCCTGTAGAGTACAAGTCTCGGAGGTGAAGCGGCCAAAACAGGCATGCAGAGACTGAGGTTCTGATTGGATGGAATCAATGAAAACTTTTCCACAGGCAGAAAAAACAGTCACAAAGGAACCATTCAGTATATGGATGCTTTAGTTAGCCAGTGCCAACACAACATGGCAGTCAGACTTAGCAGTGAAACTGGACAGTTCATGTTGAGTATAATGAAAAAAACCACACTGTGCATCCCTGTGTCCAGATACAGCTCTCAGTGATCTGAAGTCATGTTTGGTTTTCAGAGGGATCTACTTGTATTCTGTACACCTGCAGAATCCACCTGACCCATGTGATCAGAACACCAACAGGTTTCCAGGTAGCTGACTTTATTTCACTGTATTTCTGCTCCTGCTAATAATGATCAGCTAACACCACTTCACTGAAATCTTTTCATAAGAACAGGTTAAACTTGTAGCATGATGACTGGACTACAAACACTTTACTATTCTGCCCCTAGACTGTTAGGAAAGGCTTTGAGCTTCTCCAACTGCTAGGTCTGTTTATCAAGTAATTTTATTTAAAGGCATATTAGTATATGTAAAATAACTGTGATAGATGTCAGACAGCAGGGAAATGGGGGGAATGTCCCATCAGACCGTCAGCTCCCGAAACCACACACTCAAAAAAAAAAGAGAGAAAAAAAAGATAAAAATACATTCGGGGTCAGTGGGACCCCACAAGGTAAAAAACTCCTGGGTCCAAATGACCCCATTTCTTAAGACCGCGGGAGGGTTAAAAATAAATATTTTCTTTTTCTGCTAGAGGTAAAACTCAGCACCACCTTTCACCTCTGCTAAGTAGATGTTAGATGTTGAAGGACTATGCTGGGAGCAGCATAGTCTCTGTAAAAGTTTTTTCCCCTCAAAGTATAAACAAAGCCCTGTACCAGCTGAGGAGATTTTTACAGGCTGTGAGTCAACCTTTAATTTAATTTAGTCATCCTCCTCTTCTTTAACCTTTTAGCAAGATTGTTTATGGATTTCCTTACAGTTCTGTTCTGAATCTGATCGAGAAAAACAGAAGGCCATTCTGAGGACGTCCGTCCAGATCAAACAGTTGTGCGACCAGGACTGTGGGAGCTGCTGAGTTCCAAACTCTGTTCCCAAACAGGTGCACCACAGTCTAAGACTGGACCACACACTACCGGCATAAAATCACCAGAGTTTTAGACCAGAGTCACGTTAAACTTTATGATCTCGTTTTTTTCCACAAATTGTTCTCACCCGATTTATGAATAGGTAACTCAGAACCTTCTTATGACCCAATAGTGGAGAATCTGAGGTCATCATACCTAAACGGCATAATGTAGCACATTTAGAAAAGGGAAAACAGCAACACATGCATTTGAAACATCAGATCTAGAAATGGAAAACATGCTTAAAATGGGTAAATATATTGTAAACATACGACACAAAGAAAATTTCTTTGTAATATTTGTTCCCGTCAGAACAAAATAAAGGATGGAGGGTCAGAAGGGACAAATTTAAATAAATAAATCATTAATGTACCATGGTGACGCTGCAGGAACAGGAACTATGAATAAATACACACTTAATTATCTGCATTAGTCATTGTATGTTTGAATCGTTTTAATAACTTAATGACATACTGAATTAATTATCTAATAAATCAATTATTTCAACATTTTTTATCTCGCATCTAACTAATGATTTAAAGGTGTATTTTTTTTTTTTTTGCATTGTCCCTTTTTACAGTCTATGTAAAAGTACCAGTAAAATTCATTTCTATATTTTCTTGCCATAAGAATAAAATGACAAGAAACTTTTTTCTTTGCTTTTGGTTTTGTTTTTCATCATTTTCCACAAATATCCACATCCTGTAGTAGAAAATAAATCCATCCTCTATGACAAGTTTTATGTTCTTCTTTATTATAAAACTTAAAAATAGAAATAAAATGGCAAATATTTATCAAAAATTGTAAGCTGACTGTTTTCCAAAGGTCTCCAAGCAAGTTTGGTGCATTCAATAAAAACATATTAACAACATAATAAAATATATCTGGACTGCAGTGTGGATCACCAGCGCAGAGTCTGATGACCACTGAACAAGTCTGTCTCAGGTTAATATCGCTACCATATTTCACATGTTCTATGGATTCATGTGGATGGATGAGCAGTGAGATTTGGACAGAGAATGATGACAGCCAAAGCATTGCAACAACAGCATTCTGAGCAGAAGCTGAGGGAAATGGTGGAAACAGAAGCATGCATGGAGCGAGGGAGAGGCGCCTGTAAATCATGGACATCCAGAGGTGCTTGGTGGAGATGGACAGATTACTGATCCACACATAATGTGACCCAAACAGTCACGGTTAGGAAAACTGTGGAAAATTACTTTGCAAAAATGAATGAAATAAAAAGGAACTCACAGGATTTTAAGCAAAAACAGCAGTGTGATATAGGAAGTGGCCCAAATCATAAACTGTTGAATTTTTTCATAATAGAATTAAAAGATAGAAGCTAATGGTAATGATTCAAAGCAGATGTGGGTCCACAAGGGGGAGCTGCAGGACGGTGAGCAAATAAAGACAAGCAGGTTGAGGTGCAGCTGGGAGTTAAGCAGGTGTGAGGTGAGCGAGCAAGACAGAGAAGGGTTATACCTGCGAGGAAACTGCTTCAGTGTAGCTGCTTAGAGTGTCCTCAGAGAACTTAGCAAGCTAGGGCAAAAGAAGAAGCTAGTTAAAACCCAGAGGGAGGCTGGCAGTGCACCTCCTCTGTGTGCATGTGTATGTGTGTTCGAGGGATGAATCCCTCTGCACTGGGCTCGTCACAAAACTTAAAATTTCAAAACTATTGAAGGACAAAAACCAGATGATACCACCCACCTATGTTTACCAGTCTATTAAAAGGGAAATGGAAGTTTCTGCAGGACCAGAGATGATCAGACAGCTGAGCCAACGTTAGCAGCTCACAGTTTTACCTCTTCATCTGGAAACAGCTGTTGGCAGGAGGACCTCTGGTGCCTTAAAACCAAGAATTATCACCCACAAGACTGTTTTAAGCCATACTTTATGTTTAAAGTGTTAAATATATATTCTACAAAATAATGTAAGGTCATTAAAGGTTCAACATTTTCATGGAGTAGAGGGAAAAAAATGCCAGAAAAACTGTTTGAGACAAAATGTTCAAATCGGATAAAACAACACTGACTGTCATGCTTAAGACAGCGGTTTGTTAAGGACCATTTGGAAGACACATTTGTCCCCAAGCTTTTCCATCCTGGCTGATGTCATCAGATCCTGCTTCAGTATTTCTACATAATGTTTTCTTATGATGACACTTATATTGTGAAGTGCACCATGATGAGCCTGGCAAGTCTCCCCAGTGTCCATGTGACCACAGGACATGTGTCCAGACATTCAGCTCTTTGTCCCCGAGTCCATTTGCAGACTGGACTCAAATCTAATTTTCCTGTTGCTTTTGGAGTAATGGCTTCTTCCTCCCTGAGTGGGCTTCCAGACCATGTTGGTGCAAAATCTTCTTCCACGGTGGAAAATGACTCTCTTACCATCTTCACAAGGTCATTTGTTCTGGGGTCGATTCACACATTCCCCATGCGACCCCTCAGAGCCGGTCTCCTTCCTGAACAGATGACCGCTGCACATTCCCATGATGGTTATTCTAACTTGCATATAACTATTTGAACAAATGATGTAATGATGATCATGGGCAAAGAGAGATGCTGTTAGAATTGGAGCTCTAATTAGCAGAAGTACCTGCTAATTACCTCTGCTAATTAGCAGGTACTAATAGTCTGATAAATATTACAAAAAGATATAAGACAGATATAAGACAGATATATATATGAAAGCTGCAGTGGTTCTGCATGACAGATGCACAGAAATAAAAAAATGATTTACCAAGTAGCCTAAAACGGATATTCAAGTCTTGGTGACTTGAAATCTAACATGTACCATATATACAAACAACTAAGAAACAAAATGTAGCAAAAACTACAATATATTTTCATTCCTCCAGTTCCTCTAGACTGGTAGATAGTGTCACATATTTCTCAATGGGGATGCACCGATTGCAGTTTCTTGGCCGATCATTGATCTTTAAGAAGGTCAAACTTGCCAATTCCAATTTTGTCCAATAGCGATTTGTTTTTAATAATTGATACTGTCAGGTGTCAACTTTATACCCCTTCAATGTTCCAATCTTATTTTAATGAAAAACTTTGAACAATACCTGTGAAACAATACAAAATTGCTTTACCTGCACATGGGATAGTGCAGCTATCGTAGAGTATTGCTGCTAAACTACTAAATAAACAAAAGTACAAAATAATCTAATCACATTTTAAAAACAAACCTTGAACAATAGGTCAGATTACAGAAATGTTTTGAGCTCTGTCCAAAAATAAAGTGCAGTGAAGTATTTTGCTTTTGTCAGAAAGCCTCTTTACCATTCCCCTTATCTTCATCAGGATTTCCCCCAGTGGCCTGGCGGGCCATCAGATTTTACCTGCTCCCCCCATTCACCTCGCCAGGCTAAGCGATGCTTGTTCTTATTTTAAAAATGTATTTTTTAATACACCAGTAATCCTGAACTGCATGCGTCTTTGCTGTGCCCCGCTCTGCTGCACGGTCAGCGGCGGGGCGGAGTAATTCCTGAAAGAAAGCTTTATAGGTGATGCATTGAACAGGGCAGGAAGCCGGGTGTGCACCAATCACACCGTCAGTGCCTTATATTTAATTTAATCATTGTTTGTCATTAAGTATTGTCAACAATGTCTTCTAGTAACATTGTTACTGAAATGTCTTTTTTTTTTTTACATTTCCTGTCAACTTGACATTTTTAAACATAAAAACAGTGGGCTGCTGGTGGACCTGGCTTAGTAAGTTTTCTGGGGGAAACCCTGTTCATCCACAGATTCTCTCTCAGATTCAGTACTGGACTATAGCCGAATCGCTCCAAAACATCATGACTTCTAGTCAGAAGAAACATGGTTGGTCACTTTAGTGGATTACTATAAGCTAGGACTATGGATACTTTGGGGTTAACTGTAACAGTACTTAATATTTCAGTGTGTGTGTGTGCGCATATGTGCGTGTATGTGTGTGTCCTACCAAGCCAGCTGGAGATGCGCGACTGAACTCAGACAGGACTCTGGCCTCTCCAAAGGCATTTACCAGGACCCACATGACAGGGAAGAGCAGGGGCAGGATGGGCAGCACAGCCATGAGCTACAACACAACAACACCTCAGTCCACTCATCCCGTCATTAATATGAACTGTTCACAGCAAATAATGAACATTCCTGGGTAGTTCCCAGGAACCAGGTGAGTTTCCTTGGTCTATTCCTAACGCCCCAGATTTATCAGGTAAAAACAGATCAGCAGGGTAGAAATTTGGTCCTGAAATAGGCCCTGATCAGAACATTTCTAATTTAGCTGGAACCATTGGATGGAGTTTAATGGATGGAGAGTTGGGTGAATTTGTTCAACATTATCATTTAAAATAGTCCACTGCCATTATTTGCAGTCAACTTTTACTGTAACAGATTCTAAATCACTGATGTCTGTCAACAGCCGTCTGTGGAGAAACAGGGAAGTTTCATTCAGAGAAAAACAAACCTCTGTGGATCATTTATAGATTATAGAAACGATGCGTTGCAGCTACAGCGGTTTAGCTAGTTCGGGACTCATCTCACGGGTTTTATTGCTGCCAGTATCAGTGATCGTTACAAACAGTGATCGCTCTAACTTCTTCCCCTCACGCAGGTTAAAGCTCTACATGGAGATCTGCCATCTGTAAAATCCCTGTTTTATTTTAAATTATTATTTCCTTTATTTAACCAGGTAAACCCCGTTGAGATCCAGATCTCATTTTCAAGAGGGACCTGGGCAGAAGTCTGCAATACAAAGCAACTGTTAAACTTTTTCTAGTTGAAAGACAGAGCAGCGCTGACAGACTCAATGGGTTATAGTTTTACTGCATTACTAGGAGGCCGTACATGAGACCTGGTAGGGGTGGGCAGTACTTGGTGCTAAGCGTCGTCTCACCTGGAGCTGAAGGAAGTTGTAGCAGGGAGGAGTGATGCTGGGGGCCTGGCAGAAAAAGCGAATTGTGTTCACCACCAGGAACGCCACCTGCAGGAAGGATCAGGTAAATGTTTCCTTCTGCTCTTCCAGATCCGCTGAATGTGTAGAAGGTTCCTGTTAACAGCTCACCAGCACAACAGGACAGACGAGCTTCGTGATGATGGACTGAACAGTAAACCTCTCATTATCCAGCACTGAGATTGGCCGGGACAGGGCCAGCTCCAAAGCGTTCCTGTTGGTTTAAATCAAACTTATATTTTTGTAAAAACGTATCACTGGGAATGTTATAGTGGCAGAGCGGCTGCTTCCAGAACAACCAAGATGATCCAACCACCTAACCAAAGATGATCCAGCTCCCTACCTGACCGGCTCCAGCACCGGGGTCCGAACCACTCTGAAGAGGCGGTGTTGCTGGGGGCTCTGGGGCCCCCTCTTCTCAGTCCGAGGCGAAGGAGGGGGTGATAATGGTGGGAATAAATCTCCTGGTTCCAACACTATGTGCTCATCATCCTGAGAAAGAAACAAAGATAGAACTCAGCGCCATTCCCAGATTCCACTTCTAACCCCACACCTGCTTTAATAAGTACACCTCTCCATTAGCCAATCACGTGGCATCATTTCTAGGAATTTAGTTATCTGGATGTAGGAAAGACAATTATCAGAGCATCAGAACAGGGATGGGAGAAATCTGGCTCTCCAGTTGACATGTGGTTTGTGGATGTAAGGGCTGTACAAGTCATCAAGGCATTTTGCAGTTTGGGTTGCCAGGGATGTCTGTAAGAGTCATCTTGTCTTTCTATAACGAAGCACAAGCTGTGTCCACTTTCTAGGGCCCAGTTTGAGTTAAATGCTGCGCAGGTTGGCCTCTGTCAGGTCTGCTGTATGTCACTCATCTTGTTTGTGGTGTTGATGCATCGGTGGGAGGAGGGTGGTTTGGGAATCTCAGGGTTTTATTTGTTCAGATTTTAAGATTCTGTCAGCATCTTCAGGTGCATTGGATCAGTTTGCAGCAGAGTGCGAAGTGGCCTGCATGAGGTCATATGGTTCCAGTCCAGTAAAGAGTGGAGTGCTCCCTCAGGTGACCAACCTGGATGGAACTCATTCTGTTGTAGAAACAGCTGAGGCCAAAAGCAAAGCTCCTGATTAACTGGTACATCTATATTTTGTCTATCAACTATGGTGATGAGGTACGGATTATTACTGAAAGAATAAGACTCTAGATACGATTAGAGACAAGACTGAGGAAGGTCATAATCTCGAAGCCTTGAAGTCGAGTCACTGCTCCTCAGTTGAGAACAACAGAGCATCTCATCACTCTGCCTTCTGGGCCTCTTTCCCCTGAGGAAGTCCCAGAACTTCCTGGAGGCGCTATATAGTCCCTCTGGATCCCCTCCAAGCCCCCGGGGCCTGTTGCCCCTGTGACCCAATTTCAGACAAACAGAAAACAGAGGATGGATGGAGAGTTTTAATTACTTTATTTCAAGGTTTCATTGAATGTCTGCAAAAATTTTTATATTTAATATTTGGAAATCAAATATTGTGGCTTGCAAGTCACTACAGCCTGACCTTGACGCCCCGGAGAGAAGCAAACGCCTGCTGGCCAGGTCGAAGAGCAATTATGTCTCCTTCCACTAGCAGACTGACAGGGAGGTTAACCAGCTGAGAGTCCCGGTAGGTCCAGTGAAGTGACCATGAAGGAGACGAGGGCGTGTAGAGGTCAGGGTAAAGAGAAGAAGGCCACTGAATTTCAGACACACACCCTGACAGATAATCTGGATTAAAGAAACACCAAAATAGAGGGAAAGTATTAGAACAGGCCAGAGAAATAATAATAATACACTAGTTACTCTGTAGTGGTCACAATAAAACAATCACACACGTGTTTCATCTTTGACCCTTATGAGAAAACTTAGGCATTTTATTGTCATTTCCCAACTCACCATTGAGCTGTGCGATGATGCGTTTGAGTCGCCGGACCATCTCGGTTTTGTTGAGCTTCTCCTGGCGTCCAACCAGAAGCAGGTTTAACAGGAAGAGAAGGAGCAGGGCTGTAGAATTCACGATCTCTATCCCAGAGCTGGGAACAAAAGATACATTTCATATATATCATCCCAATTCATAACAGATGTTACCTCAAGACTCTTTGCAAAAGAACAAAAATCTATTTGTATTCACAAATACACAGTCAGCATAATTCAATCATAGAAATAGATTCAAAGTTCAAAGTTCATTATAACTTTTAAACTATGCAGACAAGTTCAGTTTATTATTAAAGTTGCTTAAAAAGTTACATCTAGTAACAGATTAGATCAAGTCAGTGACTTACAGAATTCACTAATCCTGGATGAGAAAGTAGCAACGACCAACCTCCTATACATAATTACCTTCTTTTTCAACGAAGCTACATTGGCTAATGCCACACACAATGAGGAAGTAACACTATGAACAAGAATGGAGCTTCAATTTGTGACAGGCTGGAGATTAAATTGTTTCCTGAGGTAGAGTGGAAGTTAAAAAAGGAACAGATTCTTTAACAGTATTGTCTGATAAAGATCTACTTTAGTGAAATTATAAATGTGAGCATTTTATATACGGTCTACAGTATGACAACAAGAGTGAATAGGTCTGTGCATGATTTGAGTGAAGCCACTTGAGTTTAAGGTAGTGTTGATTTGAAATGTTCACATTAATTATTGTGCTTTTACTTTACGTGTTATAAATCCATTTTACATTCATAGTTCATGACAGGATAGTTGAGTTAAACATAGATTGGCTACCTGCCCTTCGGCTGGCTGCCATGGCAGCAGAGGAGTCCCACCACCACCAGAAGAGTCAGAGCCCCGCCTGGCCAGTGGAGACAGGATTGCCGGTTGCCATGGTAAATGAAGCTATTTTGCCATTGTTCCTATTAAAAGAATTCAAAACAAGAAGAAAGAAAACACTAAATTCTGTTTGTGACATAAAGCTACAAACCACGACAAAAACAGTACAAACATCCCAACAAGCTGTAAAAAAACCTCATTCTTTAACCAGTTTGCACTTAAAGAATGGAAACTGTTTGTTACTAGAAAAGTTGGAAAAGATACAAAATAAAATATCTGCCAGCATATGTTTTGTTTTAACAGTTGGATAAAAAAAATGCTCAGACTGATGTTTTTCCATGTTTTTCTTTACTGAGTTTGAAAACCTTTTTGTCCATGAGTGTGATCATACCAGCCAAGAAACCCGTCTCCGTGTGGCTCTCTGGTGCTGCTCCAGCAGGCTGCTCAGCTGGTCCCGGAGCTTCACCAGAGCCTGGCTGGTAGAAAGGCCACGAGTCACACCATCTGCCTCCTGCCAACACAACAGGAGCAGAAGCTCACATACACCATAACAAGACCAAATGTTACCGTATTTATCAGCATGATTTTTAAAGATTGTTTCCATGCAACTTTTTTTCAATACAGGTTATTTCTGCTTCACTGGCATTTTAAGTTTACCAGGATAAATAATGCTCTGCCCTGTCGTATTGATTATTCTGACAATCAGATAAACAAATTGACACATTCTGCAGACTTTTTCATTTGACAACTGAAGTCATTTTTATGCAATAAACAAAAAATCCAATTCTTCTTTTAAATAAAAAAAAAATGAACATTTTATTGCTCAAAATGCAATAGCAGCATTCCTTCAGTGAACACTTGATCATTTGCCAAAAAATGAATCTGCAGCTAAAAAAAATATTATGACATCAACATGTGAAAAGTTCAGCCTTTCTGCTCGACTTAACATCCACAGTGCTGGGTATATCGGGTGATTATTTTTTGGATTAAACGATGAATAACAGAAAAGCAGATCATGCTTAAGAGGAGATTTATTTATGTTTACTCACTCTGAAACAGGTGAAGCTAAAACTGACACCTGAGGTATTTTCAGTAGAGCAGATTTACAGACAAAGAAGGTGTTTAATTTCTAAATACAAAATGCATATTTTTGTACAATTTTGGTTTAATTACTGCTCAGAGTGTGTTCTTTCAACAAAATAGTATTTTTTTTTGAGTCCGTATAAGCAATTAATCAATTACTAAATTAGTTGACAACTGTTTCAATAATCTATTGATCACTCTTAATGTGATTTATCATTTCAGCCGTAATATTTACTATCAAAAACAGCACCATCTTACAGAGCTTTCTATTTCTATCCATGGAAAATCTAAGATGCTGTGATGCACCAGCCAAGCAGCCAGTAACTGGAGGAGCCCTGACCTCCTCCTGGCTGAGTCATGATTTACCTGCATGTGTGTTCAGGTCATTATGTAGATCTGTGGAAAATGAAGCAATTTCACAAACATACTGAGAAATGGGCATGTTGTTTCTGTTCCAGCTACAGACTAAAATCAGAACAGTAAGACGCAGCATAAGGATAAAATTAGAGCCTGACAATACATCAAGTCAAAATAATCACAATATCACATTTAGCAATATCGTCAAATAAATGTAAGGTACTGCTTGAGTGCAATATTTAGCTTAGCATCATACATTGAGTGCCACATGTTCGAATTCATTTAGATGGTCTACAGTCTTTTATACACACTGTGGTTCTATTTTTAGTTGCTGAAATGCAAAAGGTGACAGAAAATGGAGACACTTTAATGATGCAGAGAAAGAAAAGACTGGGAAATAGTTTCATCAATATTCTCATGTGATGCTAAAAATCACTCCACACATTCACATAATTATGTTGATTGCAGTTAAATTTGTATTAATAATGATATTTGTTTATTTCTTTAATTCAAATAAACACAGTGCCATTATGTGCATCATTTTATTAGAGTCACTTGGTTTGGGGAGTTGGATAAGACAATGGACTAGGAAAACAAATCTGGAACTATAAACACTTTTCCATTTTCCCTACCCTGAGCTGGAAAATTTCAGACTTTTCCAATTGCATATAAACCCTGGTTAGTCATGTCAGGGAGAAACTACATTTCCCATCTGTCACCCCACTGACACACACACAGACACACACACATTACCAAATATGACAATTTCCTTGAACCTGAGTTCAGATTTAAGGACCAACATCCTATGCAGCCAAGACAGAAATAACTTTCCCAGAGAAACAAAGAATCAACAAAAATCCTCCATGGATACATGAAGCAGACGGGAGGACCAACAGAGGCAAAACGGCTCCTGACCCTGGCTACATGCTAACAGATCATTTCTCTTTAAACAGACAGTGGAGGAAATATGAAGTGAATCTGCCTTTAAAGAGAAATATACAGTGAAGCATATACTGCTGAGCATTTTCTATTCCTGCCTTCAACACTTATTAACCAAACCATTCAAGTCTTTAATTCATACTATGTGACATTAGTAAACAGCAACAACAGTGGTTACATGTCAATAAGCTGTTCTCCTTGCTCTGAGGCTGGGAGAGCAGTGGAGGCTACAGAACCTCCATCTGAAATCTTTTTGCCACTCTATCAATAGAAAACACTTCTAATAGAACAGGGTTTCTCAAAGTGGGGACCGCGGCCCCAAAATGCATTCTCTCGCCAGGACCACACAGCATTCTGGGGGATGTAGGCAGAAGAAAGGCTTTAGAGGCTCAGCCTCTCATGACCAGGTAAGAAAGGTTAGTGACATCAACTAACTGGCTCACTCTTTGGTTACCTAGCAACAACCTCTTAAGTAACATGAACAGTAGTAGTTCATGCACAACAGCTCAAGAAGAAACTGTGGTTAAAACAGAAAAGGCCACATCATCCCCCCGATCCCCGAAAAAAACAAATCAGTAATTATGACTGATATGAAACCTTCATATTGTGATGCTACTCCAGAAACAAAATCTGCTTCAAATCCAGAGCACCAACCAGTTTAAGACTAACATCATCACTAAGCGTCAGGGCTGCAGTGTTAGAAAATCTTCAGATGGCGATAATATTGAAAAAAAATATGACGACATCAGGTATGATATATGCCTGTTTTCTTCTTTACTGTCTTTATGATCTGTGCTTCCTGCTCTGTGACCTCAGTGTTAGCTCTGGCTGCCGTTAGCCTCTGTCCTACTGGCTAAATATTGTGTTATACAACTTCAGAACTTGTAAAATATATAAGTCAATTACTGCACTCCAATCAGTCCTGTTGATATCAATATTGTACACACTGACACTGAGATGACGATGTAGTCACGATTTATTGTGCTGCTCTACTAAACATAAATGTGAATCTACAAAGGCAGCTGCTTAGTCACTGATTTGTCTCTGAAGTTTTAAATAGTTAGTCATTTATTTTCATTTCCATCTATTTAATAAAAGTGCTATAAGATCAAATCAAAACAGACAACAGGTTCTCACTAGAGGTGTAACGGAGCATGTATGCATGCTGCAGATTCTTGTTTCACAGTTCTACGCTCTAGAAAGCCTGCACCAGTACAGGAAATAACCTGAACATTCAGCAACAAAACTCACCTGCTTCTTGTCCTGCGTCGCCATGCCAACCCCGACCACTCCACATGCTCTGCTTCTCAAGCTGTCATCGACACCTGGCAAGAGGCCTTCAGTGCCACCACAGCGCAATCAGATGTGGGGAGCCCACAGCGGGGCCGTTTCTTCCCGACGTCTTCAGGTCACTCATACGCAGAGGCAGAGTGGTGCTGCTGGGAGTTCCCACCTGGAAACCTTCCTCTGTCAGAGTGACAGGAAAGAACAGCAACACCTGCAGGGATCAGCAGGTTACCACCATGAGATGGGCTCTGGTTTTTGACACCGACTGTTGAAGTGAGAATGAACAGCAGGAGTCTGGTCAGGAAATGTTTTTATAAGCACTCAAAACAGCGCAACTGACCAAACAGCTGAACAGAGATGAGGCAAACGCATTAAAGCACAAACACATCTTTTATTTCTACCAATCTGATTCAATTCAGTTCAGAAACAATTTTTAATTCAGAAACACATTTTTAAAGTCAATCTAGAGAGTATGTTTAAATTATGGGACTGACAAGAGGAATAGACAGTGTGTAAAAAAAATAGAACATTTATATAAAACAATTCTACAAGGTTCCATACTGTATCAAATTCCATCAGTTAAAACAAAAATAGGTTTGTGCCTAAACCTCTGGAACTTAAACCAGTACTAGGTTAGCTTAGCTGCCTGGCTTTTTCTTAAATAAAAGAAAGAAAAAAAAAAAGAAAGGACTATTCAAAAGCCATACAGCGGTCGAGTGGACGTAATGCAATATGCAGTAAACTCACAAAAAGGCTAAGAGGTACAAATTAAACACATTTTAAAATATTTGAGCATTTTGAATTGATTCCTAATTCCCAGGACTAGGAGTGGCATTTTGTTTCTCTTTTGTTTTTTTACCCAAAATATGCCAATAATTTCATAGAGAACTGGTTGACAATTAAGAAATTAAAATGTTCTGGGCCTAGTCAAAGCACAGAATTGTATCTTATTGAGATGCTGAGAGTTGACTTGACTCAACATGCAAGAACTTCTCACACATCTGGCTGTTTCTAGTAAAGCTGGTAACACCAGATATCAGGGGCCAAACTCAGTTCTAAAGCCATTTTTGTGTTTCCCTATAATTCTAATTTTGGTAGAACTAAATATTTAAATTAGGAGTCCTATTTTTTCACTGTTATGTATGAATCTTCTTTTTTATTGAAGGTGCAATAGGACCAGCCCATGTTAGCATTACAGTTGAAGAGAGAATGAGATGTAGGTCCAGAAGCCACAGCCACCTGATCCATTGACATAAGCAGCTCTGTGGAACAAAAAGCCAGCTCCACTGAGTCAGCAGCATGTTCTGACAAACAGCTGATGATGCTCAGTCACAGAGGAGAAGAGGCAGACTGTAAAGCTGAGAGAGATAGATCCATCTGAAAATCAAACAAGCCATCCAAATGAGAAGAATTATTTATGATTGAAACTGTACACTTCAAAAATGGCTGACTGTCTGGTTCTCTCTGAAAGTTAGGTGGGTTAAATCAGTGGTTCCCAACCTTCTAACCATTTTGTGGACAGATAGAAAGGAAGGTGTGTGTCAATGTCATAGTGTCAGTGTGATAGTTCCTAGACGACTAATTTACCAGAAAGTCTGTTCACCATCAAAAACTCCTGAAGAAGAAGAACCAGCTGTCCTTTTCTGACTTCAAATGCAAACTCACATGGTTTAAGCAGCAGGACAATGATCTGAATTGCACAAGAATTTGCTAAAAGAAATAAAATGAAGGTTTTCTCGTGGGCTAGTCAAAGTGTAGGCTTAAATGTGATTGAGATGTAGAGGTATGACCCTAAATAGGTTTTACTTATTATCATTGTTTGAAAACAATGCATTATATTCACTCAGGCTAGCTCAGGCTCAGGCCAAAATCCAAAACATATACATATGACAAAAAGTGAAGGGTAGGGGGGTTTAGGGATTGTGGAGTCAACGACTCAATGCAAACAACAGTTCACTGTCACTGGACACTCATCCAGGAGGAACGAATGCTGCAGAAACTTCTCTGTTCCTGTCCATCAGCTCTTTTAGAATTTTGAGGCTGTATCTCAAATACTGAATCACTTTTTCAAACCACCTTGGACATTGTAGTTTCTCCTTCCTTCAATAACCAAAACACCAGGGAAAAAACCCCCCAATAACACCAGGACCAAGTGAAGCACCAACCATGAAGTCAGTCAGTAAATGTTTATCAGCAGCTTCTGTATACTATGTAACATATCAACTTATGTTAGCTGATATGTTAAAAAGTTAAACTGAAACTGAGAAAGCATAACTTTTGCCTCACTGTGTGTTGAATATAATATACTAAAGTGTGAGGCGGAACATTTAAAGACCACAGAGAGAACAATTTCATAATTTTTTAAGGTATCAATTGGTAAATTGCACATTTTCACTATGGCTTGTGAATGTTACAGCTTCTAGCTTTAAAGACAGTATTATAATTCTACTTCTGTCAGCAACATTAGAATCATTTGCATGATTGAGAGATGAAAACAAAGAAAAACCAATGCGCCTCATCTGGTACAGGGTTTCTACACATTCACCAAGTCACAATCTCAAATTTTTCTAAAATCAATTCCTGGAACTGTTCATCAGTTTTTGAACTGTGTAAACATAAGACTAAAACCATTATTAACAGTTGTGGTCAGAAATTTACATACCCTCATCATGGACACAGAATGTCTAGTAAACATGGGGCTTCTAATGATTTATCTGAACCACTCACAAATGTGAAATTATTATTATTATTGAAAAAATTGATCAAAAATACAAGGTGCATGAGTCTGGATTTATTGTAGGTGTTCCATAATCGCCAGATGATTACAATTATGAATACTATACTTTGAGTTCAACTGTGTGTATTTTATCCTGTATGTATTTCTGATCAACAGCTTCCAGCTATTTTGTTTGTACGTTTCTTACCTAATTCTTTCACATTGATAAAAGAACGATTCACTTAAAGTTCAAATCAGTGACATTAAAATGTGGTCAAATGTCTGACAAAAATCATTTACATTGAACTGATAACTGGTGGATGAGGATTATTTTGCGTCCAATAACCTTACGAGGGTAAAAATGTAACGACGCAACAGTTTAAATGTCTGCTCAATCTGCAATCATTTGTATATTTTATACATTTAAATATAACTTTCTGTTTACTACGTTGGACTAAATGAACAATATTGTCGAAATGTCGACTGAAGGCGATCTAAAGACACTCTAACAACAGCTAGCTATAAACCAGAGCCGAAGCTTTGCTTTATGGACATGTTCTCTAATACACACTGATTAAATTAATAACACAGAAGAGATATCTTTTCCGTCTTGTCAACAGATGCTGCAGACAGGCGTCGACCTATCAGCAACTACACCTACGTAATTTGCGGTATATAAATTAATTGTATCCACGTACATTTTTCTGTACGGACTCACCTTATGGGTCTTTTAAGCAGCTATTGATATCCTTCCAAAGTTATTTTGTTCTCTCAAACACTAATGGACTTTTCTCCTTCACTGTTACTGCAGCAGCCATCTTTGGACAACGTCCGTATTGCAGGAAGTAGGCTGTGATTGGATGAGTGTAAGGTGTTTTATTCTCTGATTGGTTAATTCACCTGTGGAGAAGTTTAATATTTTAAACGCTCGTCTAGACAGGCGTATAACTTTGATAACCCTTTACTCCCCTTTTCACCCAGTCTCTGCTGCTGAGGTACACCGGTCAGCTTATGAGACTGGCCAAGGTGGATGTGGTGGGGCAGGACACAGTGGCAAGTTTAAGTTTCGGCTCCATCTTGCGGTCAGTTCCAAGAACTACACAACTATTGAAAATCAAATAGAAGCAGCTTCAAATGACTGTGTAAGTTTTGGTAATTTGATTTTCTCATCGGATTCAGAAATAAATAAATAAATAAATAAATAAATAAATAAATAAATAAATAATAATAATAATAATAATAATAATAATAATAATAATAATAATAATAATAATAATAAAGTATTTATTAAAATAAAAAAAATCTTCATTTCAAATTTGAGCCGTTTTTCGATTTGTTGGCGAACGACGGAAAAAATAAAATATAAAATAAAATCAAACTTTTGCTTATTTCAAGACAGGCACTGCATTCTACGATAATTATATATTCTGACTGTAAGACAGGAGGTACAATACAAAACATGACTTGTGAAGCAAACCTATTAAATAACATTGTAAAGTGTAAGGAAGAAAGCAAATGTGAAGGTTAGCAAGGTAGTAAGGAGGAGGAGTGTGCATTCTATGACTTTGTGTTTTTGTGTTTTTATGAACTGCATATTGAACTGTCTTGTTGATGAAATGTGCTATACAAATAAACTTGAACTTGAGGAGAAGAGAACACAGGGAAGAAGAATTGGGAAGCTGATCAATACTGATAATTAGACATGTTCTCCATGTAGAAGTTATGTTAAGATCATATTATCTTAGTCTTCTACAATGGGAATTTAATGCAGGAGAAAGATTGATCAATCGAGTGTTGATTTATGTCTCCTGACCAGTAGTGGCAAAGGGACTATTCTATCAGTCATTAGGCAAGAGGTAGGTTTTACCACAGGCAGATCATCAGTCTCATACAGGGTCAGCATGAGACAGTCATGCACTCTCATACTCACTTCTCAGGTGGGCTTGAACCAACTGACTCTGGACTGTTGCTCCATGTAATACCTGGTAAACAGACAGAGATATCACAATATGATGAAACAGGGTGAGCAGATACTGCAGCAATTTTAAGGTGTTCAACAGAAAAGCCTCCTCATTAAGTTGTGATCTGTACAATAACAATTTTAAACATTGTCAGATGTTACTCCTGTCTGATTATATTGGAAGGCTTGTTTATGACCCTTTCACCTTTAAATTTGTTTTTAAAAAAAATGTCTGAGTTGAGCCCGCACTCAGTTTCTTTGTCACATCCTCTGTCAGTGGTAAATAGCTTCTATTGCTATTGACAAGTGTTTGGTGTACATTGGATAATATGAAGAGACAATACAGAATATCTTCCTTCAACAAACAGGGATCTCACTAAATCTACAATGAGTTACTTAGACTGCAATATGTCTTAAAGACAAAAGCCCTGATGAGTCTGATCTTAAATTCAGTCTAAATCAAAACCTAAATAACAAGTATGCTATTTTATGCTGACAAGCATCCCTGTTTTTCCTTCAAATGTAACGATGGTCATCATGGCCAAACCATACCACTTTAGTTTCATCAGACCACAGGGCATGTCTTCAAAAATGAAGGTCTTTGTTTATATGTGCATTTGCAAAGTACAATCAGGCATTTTATGTTTCTTTTAGGAGTAATGTTTTTGTCCTTGCTGAGTGGCCTTTCAGCCCATGTCAGTACAAGATGACTTTTATTATGGACAATAAGGCTGTCTTGTTGGCTTTAGCCAGAATCCTCACAAGGTCTTTTGCTTTTGTTCTGGTGTCAATTTGAAAATTTTGGACCAAAACATATTACTCTCGAGAACACAGAACTCATCTCCTTCCTGAGGTATGATGGTTGAACATTACCATCATATCTATACTTGTATATAATTGTTTGAGCAGATGAAGATGTCAAATTCAAGTGTCTGCAAATTTCTTGCAATGATGATTCCATATGCAAACTTCAGATTTTCAAGACATTAATAAATAAACTACTGACATATTATTTGTCTTAAGTACAAATATATCTGATACAATTTTTATATTCTAACTTATCTAAAACAATTTAAGTTTGGTCAGACTTAACATCAGTGACAAAAAAGGTCTTTGTGTCTTTTTTTCAGTATGTAAACTTCTACCTTCAACTATATATTTCTTGGAGACTAAGTCATGTTTGGGGGAATAAACTACTTCACTATTTTCACCATCCTCTACCTCAGTTTCCAGGGTCACGGTGACCCAGCTGCTAAAGGAGGCTCTGTCACATTAAAACTAAGAACATCATGTTCCATGTGTTTAATTTTTTGTATTTTTATCTTGATTTTGAAAATAGCCTTTTGATTAATTGGTGAACTTTCATCAATGCTACTAATATACAAAATTCCTGTCAAATAAACTATGATGTCACTCAGTTCACACATAACAACCGGGACTTCGTATCCCAAAACTAGAGAAAGAAAAGCTCTCCTATGGTCTTAACCTCCAACAAGCATCCTGCAGCTTACAATGAAGCTCACAGCTCAGTATTAAAACATCCCTTTGCAACTGAATTTTGGACCTGGCAGAAAGACAACCAACAATACATGTCAGCAGGAAGAATTTATGCTCCATCAAATTAGCCTCACGCCCCCCCTTAAGTGTGTTCAGTCCTTTGTTCGTTACTCTGCTGCTACATGATTAGACTGCAATATTTAGTTCAAATTAGCTCATATTGGGGGGTTGGTTTGTGGTGCAGCAGTACTGCAGCAACCCTTTATTTGGACCAGGGTTCCTGACTGAGACATTTTCAGCATATCTTCTCTCTTTCTCTCTGTACCCATACTTTGTTGGATCTACAGCAAATAAAGGTCACTAATGCCAGAAAAAAAAGTTAACTAGGATAATTTAAGATTGAACAATGAGAATTAAATAATTAAAGGGGCAGTAACATAGTCCCATTTTATAGCACAATGCTATGATACTTTCAGTTGTAATAAAAATACTGACCTTGCAATTTGACATTTTGAAATGGGCCTCTCTTTCTTTAAAAAGCTTCTGCTCTACTATATAAATTCCTTCAGAACGTCATCCAAATAACGCATCTCATTATACGGCAATGCTTTGTATAAGTAATTATTTAGGCACCCCTGAATGGTTGCCACGGGAGATTCATGGAATTCACAAACATGTACGAAAGAATCAAAGCAACGTTCCAGATATGTTTATGATGAGGGAATAACATTGTAACACAATACAAAAGTTAAAAAAGTTGACTTAACATAAACTACCCTTTTCCCCTCAGTTAAGTTAGACATTAGCTGTGGGGATGACAATCTGTTTAATACCATTAAAGCTAAACCCTTCAAGGAAATATTGTACATGTTGTCGAGTACACCAGTGGCTGTCCTGTGGAGAGGATAACTGGCACTGGAGTTTTTACATGCTTTAAACTCTTTTATGGGAAGAAAAGCCCTACTGCATGCTGATGAGTCCTTATACTGAAACTGCACTGTGGCTTTACAGGACAGCTGGAAGTCAACAGTGTCTCCCTTATGAACCCCTTTCAAAAAGCAATAATATTTTCTCAGAGTAATAAAAAGAAAATCAGAACAAGACTATGTTGGTATACTTTTAATTTAATTTCCATGAACTTAAGCTAATTTTAAACGTAGCATACAACCTGTTCCTGAAATAACATGACCTGTGTTAGTATCTGTTTGTTTTACTATCTATTTAGCAAGATAGAGTTTGCCTTTGTTATCTCTGTATTACCACAGTAGCCGGGTTAAGTGAGTTCTTAGTGAAGCCTGGCCGAAATGATGAACTCCAGTGACCCAAAGAGATCACGCGAGAGCTGCAGGTGACGTCAACATTTGGCCCTGCCTTGTAATCACCTTATCTCTGAAAGTCACACACCTCTCTATGGTGATTGGATAAACCCTCACACCTCCGCTGCGTGATTGGTCAAGTCAGACGTCATGTAGAATAGTTCATTGTTGACATCAACGTGTGAAAATACCGGTCTCGTGGAGTCGTTTGTACTTATGCATCATTTAATTTTAAGATCGTAAATGAGAAATAAAAGATAATAAATTGCTTGGCATTAAAACAGTGCTTTTTTATGTGAAGACTTTGATGGTTTAACATCAGTTTTTCTTGAGTCACTTGACCAATTATTCAAAAAGTAGAAAGTCGGTTTTTTCGTTTTCGTTAAGCCAAAACTTTGCTTATAGTGTCGTAAAATTTTCGGGCAGTTGGAGCAAAGCGACTCGGGACGAGTAAGAGGAGTCTGAACTGGAGTAACCCCCCTGCTAACATCTTTTTTCCTGTTACGTCGGAGGCCAACGAATTACTCCATCACTGGCTGGATCCAGAAGCTCTGCCTCTTCTCTCATTGGACTGTACCGTCAAGCGGCTGTCAGCCCATGTGGCGTGGCCAGGCATAATACAGCACATTTATATTCATCAGTGAGAAAAAAAAGGGAAAGAAGCACGGCGGCTGAACATTGAGGAGAGGAGCCGGTTACCGACGACACCTAGCTGAACTGCCTTCCGAACGAATTCAGCACCGGGACACGAAGAAGAGTCTGAGACAGGTGAGCTCTTTGCTTTTCCAAAGGGCTTAAGCTCTAATTCTCTCATGTTGCTGCGTCACTTTAAAAAAAAAAAAAAAAACTTGGAATGGAAGTAATTAGAATTAATAAACATAAAATTTAGCTTAGAATTTGAAAAGTTTAACGAACGGTTGATGCTTGTTTTTCTTATAACTGTGCTCTTCTAACCACAAGAGAGAATGTGTTGGGCATCACTGCAGTGACTCCAGTTCTAAATAACTCCATCTAAACGTTCCAGTCGCTTGACCAACCGGTCTGGTTCTTCAGTATCAGGTCTGGCCGATCAGGTTCCTGGAAATAAGTGACTGCACTGTTAAAGATTCCCTGTATCCTCTTAACATGGATGGCACACTGGCTTTCTAGGCACTAAGCCTAGCACTTTAATTATTGGGTCCTTTTTATTAA